TAAGTTGCTTTGAATTTTTTCTCCGGCATATACGAACGAATAATTTTTCTAGATTAGGTGAGAGCAGTTTTGCAACTTTTAGGTCACAATGGGCTATTATGGCAGATTTCGGTACATTTAGAATAAAGCATGTGCTTTCTCCTGTTTTCAGATTTATACATCATATACCCAAAATATGAATACAAAATCGCATGGAAATAACAGAGGAATTTCTTTTTCATTTGCATACATATACGTTATTTATAAAAAAATTTTAAAACGTTTCATATGAATCTTAAGAAGGATTAAGATCGAGTAAACTTTTTCTCTATCTTTTCTAGAAAAGACAAAATTAATCAAAATCTTATGCATTACATATCAACATAACCCACTTTAAAAACGCCACATTAACACTTTACCGACCGGTAACGGTTGATAAATCGGCTATCGGTCGGTAAGCGTTGGCCGGTAAAACAGTTGATTGATAGGCTTTCAGCCGGTAAGCGTTGGTCGGTAAAACAGTCGATTAATAGGCTGTCGGTCGGTAATGTGTTAAAATATCATAAATATTTTAGAATAATGTTGCTCGAAGCAGTCTCAACTTCATGTTCAACTCGAACAACGTTTCGACCAACAGAATTTACAATTTACTGTTTAGTGAAAAGCTTCGAAGCTATTGACAAGAATCCTAATTCATCAATTTTACAACATTCTCAAAAATTTGCCATTTCGCAGATTTCTGTGTAAATTCTGATTTTATTAAAAAAAATTAACCTCAACGACGAAGTTCATTTTTGGATGGATGACTTGTACTCGTAAAATGTTACTGTGTGGTGTGATTGTTTAGTTCGTGGAGTTATATTTTGATTTGCCCAAAATGCAGTTTTAACAAAACGTTAAAGCGTTACTTTAAAAACAATTTTATTTTGTGAAAAATAAAAACCAACATCCCTTTTGAATTTTTCAAGCAAAATGGGGCAAGCAATGTTGCTTGGAAATTTTGTAAAATTTAATTTTTGGACCAGCAAAGGGATATTTTTTGTTGCTGGAAATTAATCAAATCTAATTTTTGGTCAATCAACAGAAAATTCGTGAATTTTTTTTTTGTTGGAAATTTAATGAAATTTAATTTTTGAACAAGTAAAAGAACTTTTTGTTTGCTGGAAATTTAGTGAAATTCTATTTTTTGGAGAAGCAAAAGGTTATGTTTTGCGAATTTATTGTTGCTGGAAATTTGGACAAATTTAATTTTTGCAAAAACAAAAGAACGTATCTTGTGAATTTTTTGTTGCTGGAAATTTAATGAAATCAATTTTTTGAATAAACAAAAGGATATGTTTTGCGAATTTATTGTTGCTGGAAATGTAGTCAAATCTAATTTTTGCAAGGACAAAAGAACAGGGTTTGTGAATTTTTTGTTGCTGGAAATTTAGTGAAATATCTTTTTTGGACATGCAAAAGGATATGCTTTGCGAATTTATTGTTGCTGGAAATTAGTCAAATCTAATTTTTGGACAATCACGGAATGTGTTTCTGGAATTTTTTGTTGCTGGAAATTTAATGAAATCTAATTATAGGACAATCGATAGATATGTGTTTTGTAAATTTTTTGTTGCTGGTAATTTAGTCAAATCTAATTTTTGAACAAGCAACAGAATGTATTTTGTGAATTTTTTGTTGCTGGAAACATGCTACACTTCTGCTGAAACTATTGCTTCATTCAGATTAACACATTACCGACCGATAGCCCATTAATCGACTTTTTTACCGGCCAACACTTACCGACCGATAGCGTATTAATCAACTGTTTTACCGACCAACGCTTACCGACCGATAGCCGATTAATCAACCGCTACCGGTCGGTAAAGTGTTAAAATTCAATGAAAAGATTATTTCGAGGAATGTAGCTGTCAAGTGTTTGCCGATATCTTGCAATTTGACGCCATAAGACAAATTTTTTACAAATAATGTATATGTATCGTGATAATTAAAAAACTACAAGAAATACAATCATCATTATACGTGGGCTGATTATGCTCAAAGTTTAATCAGATCGTGAAATGAGAACGTAAAACTAAAATGTAAAGTTTCATTGAATTCATTCAAACTTTTAGACGTAATCATGTTAACACTTTACCGACCGGTAACGGTTGATAAATCGGCTATCGGTCGGTAAGCGTTGGCCGGTAAAACAGTTGATTGATAGGCTATCAGTCGGTAAGCGTTGGTCGGTAAAACAGTCGATTAATAGGCTATCGGTCGGTAATGTGTTAAAATACCATAAATATTTTAGAATAATGTTGCTCGAAGCAGTCTCACTCGCAAAAGTTAATCTAAGAAATAAATATTTAGAAATTGAAAACAAGTAAAATTTATTAAAATGAAAATTCACTCTTAGCACCGAGCACGCTGTAATAACCTTCAATAGCAAATATTTTTTGAAGATATGATTCAAACAAAAGAATTATTAACTACAGAACATCGACTGAACGGCACATGTGTTTCAAAATATCAGGATCTTGCCCGATGTCTTTGAAAACTTCAACAATCATCTCTGCGGTTCAATATATAGAATACTTTTTTATTTCGTTAAGTCAAATATACATATTTGATTCTGCGCAACAAATTGATATGGTTATTGAAAAACTACATATAATACAAAATTACAAGAGGTATAATCATCATTATCGATGAACTGATTTTGCTCAAAGTCTAACCAAACCTTGAAATTAGAGCGTACAACTTAAATACAAAGTTTTATCGAAGTCTATCAAAGTCTAATCAAACCTTGAAATTAGAGCGTACAACTTAAATACAAAGTTTTATCGAAGTCTATCAAAGTCTAATCAAACCTTGATATTAGAGCGTACAACTTAAATACAAAGTTTAATCGAAGTCTACCAAAGTCTAATCAAACCTTGAAATTAGAGCGTACAACTTAAATACAAAGTTTAATCGAAGTCTATCAAAGTCTAATCAAACCTTGAAATTAGAGCGTACAACTTAAATACAAAGTTTAATCGAAGTCTATCAAAGTCTAATCAAACCTTGAAATTGGAGCGTACAACTTAAATATAAAGTTTTATTGAAGTTGATTCAGCTGTTTAGACACAATCATGTTAATAACATACGTACATATACACGTATGTATTGCGTACATATATAGACAAGATAACCAAATTTTTTGGTTTCTAATAGTCACAATATGATCAAAAGGTTTTAAAACGTGTATTTTCGTTGATAAATATTTTCGAAATTTTTTATTTTTATTTTTTTTTTTTTTTTCCTTCACCGTTCGTGATTCCCCGAAGTTGCACGAAGTGTGAAGTTCACGGTACATGCGCATGCGCAGTAGCATGTGTCTGCTTTCCCCCGCCATTCTGTTACGAGCTAAGTTTGTCGTTACTAGCGTTCGCCGTCGATGCGCTAAATTATGCCAAATCTGGCCGCACTGCGCAGGAATGCCGCGAGGTTGGGCCTGATTCGTATGTGCTCCACGAATCACGGTTATCCATGCCGGACGTGGCAACGTGTAGACAGACGTCATTAGAATAAAGAAGGGCCTCCGAATGATGTCATTCCGTGTCCGAAACGTTCCCCGATTGTCAATCGAATCGGGAAGGTATCTCCTGAGAAGAAAATTCCATCAAATAACGTACGCTAATGGTATACGGCGCCATGATGCTTTTTCTTCCGCGAATTGAATTTCTACGAGATGGTTATCCGCGATGAATCGAATAGAGGGCGATGATGGCGCCACAGGAACAATGAGATCTTAATTCACATCACATTCTGTAAACGGTTTTGAGTTTGCGTCTATACAGGGTGTTCATTAATTGTTATCAATTTCTTCACGGAGGATTAATTAAAAAGTTATTAAAAAATTTCAAATCATTCAGTAAAAAATATTTTTGGATGCGGGGCTCAATTGCAATCATTTTTGGTGAATAGACATAACCTCGAAATCCTACCCACTTTCGAGAAAAAAATTCGAGTAGGTACCGAGTAGGTTTTTAGACAAAATTAAAAAATTTGATGCTTATTATTTGTATTATGTGTGATAACCAAATACACATATATCGAGTTATCTGTGCAAGCGGAATTATTCAACATTCCAACCGAAAACGAAAGAAATGAAAATTTGTATTAACACTTTACCGACCTTAACCTTTACCCGACTTTAACGACCTATCGGTCGGTAAGCGTTGGTCGGTAAAGTAGTTGATTAATACGCTAGTCGGTCGGTAAAGTGTTAAGCAAAAATCATGCTATCCAGTGCTGTAGAAATTCAGTGTTACAGGATCCCGTGTTGTAGGAGGGCTGCCTATATTTATTAATACTTAAAACTTGCCTAACTTCTACAAAATTTTGCAAATCACAAGGCGAGGAAAGCCTGTTTACAGTTGTTGCATAATTTTCCTGACACGAAAATTATTACAAATATAAAAAATTAGTACGGACTGTTTATAATTTATTTTGTACTTTACCGACTTTAACGACCTATCGGTCGGTAAGCGTTGGTCGGTAAAGTAGTTGATTAATACGCTATCGGTCGGTAAAGAAGTTGATTAATAGGCTATCGGTCGGTAATGTGTTAAAATAGCAGTACGTGTGCACTTTGTCCGAATATGATCGTGTTTGGAGTCATTTTTATCGTAAGAACCTCATCTGTCTGTTAATACCATTTTCATGGAAAATAAAAATCGCTTTGATAAATTTATGGTCGACTCGACTGGATTCGAGGAAGTAGTCTGGAGAAAGAGACGAAAACGTTACAATTACTAGAAGGAAAGAAGGTTACAATAAACCCGGAAATACTGTAATGGGCGATCATAATTTCAATTTTGTCTAAATTTGTTGGATTTCTTTATTGTAATTGGTACATCGCACCTCGCTTACAAAAACCCTTCTCTATTTTGTCCAATCGCGCACACATTTTTTTTCTTCCCACCAATCATACCAACTCATCATTCATACCAACCCAGCGAAAGCTAGATATTTTCACAAAATTTTGGTTTCAGTATACACCGTTGGTGGAGAAGGCAAACGAGGACCTGGTCCACCACATAATATTGTACGAGTGCGCGTCAACTCTGCCAATTTTGGGACGTCACGCTAGAATCGTCGGTGCGCCTTGTTACAGTCTTACGATGCCCCGAGAGTGGGAGTCCTGTTTGCAGCCGGTGCTGGCTTGGGCTCGCGGCAGTACGGGTAAGTTCGCAATAACGCTAAGCGCGACGCGGACGGCGAGAGCGCGAACTACACGGCGTGATGCGTATTTGCAGGAGAATGGCTCCCGGAACACGTCGGTATTCCCATCGCGGAACACAGCGAGGGTTCTTATTATATGCTGGAGATACATTACAACAACCCGGGCATGAAGGAGGTGATGGATAGTAGCGGAGTGAGACTCCACCTGACACCGAAACATCGTCCCGAAGAAGCGGGCATTCTTGTCGCTGGCGTCGCTGTGAGTCCTCTGCATCTGATACCTCCGAGACAGAGGGAGTACGCCACGGCTGGATACTGCACACCTCATTGCACAAATACGGTAAACTATGTTCTCTAACTACATTAAGATCCATTGCAAGTAGCTGCAAAATGCTCGCAGCGATAGAGCAGTTTTAGGCTCTGCAATTACAAAGTTTGAAGACCAGAACATCTCAACATCTGCACGTCACTGCAATAAACCATTAACTGCCAGTTTAGCTACCCAACATTACTCAGAATGTTTAAATAACTAAGCCTCGCCCCAACACACCCCCAATCGGTTGTGTTACGAGGGTAACGATCAAAATTCATACGGTTTACCTTTCCCCAAAACTCGCATCCATCGATTACATCCTTAACTGAATCCTCGAGCAAGCAAACACAATTCCATCACGCAGAACTCAAGAACAGTCAGCGAGCAAACAAACAACGCTTAAGAAATACTCAGAACTCAACCACGCCATCTGTACAGTCAATACTTTAATTGAAGTGTAAATAAGTGTTAAAGAAATTTGTCGAACATCCTTCAAAATACATTAGTTTGCTTTGAATTTTAGTTTGTTGCGTCGCAACACTAACAATTATTCTATTAGGTCATAGTTTTTTTACCGTTGAGTTTCCCAATAAGTACTGTTGGTAACATTGGAAATCCGGTGAATCCTATAATAATCCTGTAAACCTACAATAATACTTGACATTTATCAGGCAAAATTTAAAAGAATATTCTTAAGTATATATATTTTCAAAAAATGAAATAAAAAAGATTGATTTTTTTGAAAATATCCATTCCTTTCCTTTTCCATCTTTTTCCACAGGGCTACACACTATTAACACATTACCGACCGATAGCCTATTAATTGACTGTTTTACGGACCAACGCTTACCGGCTGAGAGCCTATCAATCAACTGTTTTACCTACCAACGCTTACCGACCGATAGCCGATTAATCAACCGTTACCGGTCGGTAAAGTGTTAACATGATTACGTCTAAAAGTTTGAATGAATTCAATGAAACTTTACATTTTAGTTTTACGTTCTCATTTCACGATCTGATTAAACTTTGAGCATAATCAGCCCACGTATAATGATGATTGTGCCTCTTGTAGTTTTTTATTTATCCCGATACATATACATTATTTGTAAAAAGTTTGTCTTATGGCATCAAATTGCAAGATATTGGCAAACAGTTGACAGCTACATTCCTCGAAATAATCTTTTCATTGAATTTTAACACTTTACCGACCGGTAGCGGTTGATTAATCGGCTATCGGTCGGTAAGCGTTGGTCGGTAAAACAGTTGATTAATACGCTATCGGTCGGTAAGTGTTGGCCGGTAAAAAAGTCGATTAATGGGCTATCGGTCGGTAATGTGTTAATCTGAATGAAGCAATAGTTTCAGCAGAAGTGTAGCATGTTTCCAGCAACAAAAAATTCACAAAATACATTCTGTTGCTTGTTCAAAAATTAGATTTTACTAAATTACCAGCAACTAAAAATTTACAAAACACATTCTATCGATTGTCCTATAATTAGATTTCATTAATTTTCCAGCAACAAAAAATTCAAGAAACACATTCCGTGATTGTCCAAAAATTAGATTTGACTAATTTCCAGCAACAATAAATTCGCAAAGCATATCCTTTTGCATGTCCAAAAAAGATATTTCACTAAATTTCCAGCAACAAAAAATTCACAAACCCTTTTCTTTCGTCCTTGCAAAAATTAGATTTGACTACATTTCCAGCAACAATAAATTCGCAAAACATATCCTTTTGCTTATTCAAAAAATAGATTTCATTAAATTTCCAGCAACAAAAAATTCATAAGACACGTTCTTTTGTTTTTGCAAAAATTAAATTTGTCCAAATTTCCAGCAACAATAAATTCGCAAAACATAACCTTTTGCTTCTCCAAAAAATAGAATTTCACTAAATTTCCAGCAACAAAAAGTTCTTTTACTTGTTCAAAAATTAAATTTCATTAAATTTCCAACAAAAAAAAAATTCACGAATTTTCTGTTGATTGACCAAAAATTAGATTTGATCAATTTCCAGCAACAAAAAATATCCTTTTGCTGGTCCAGAAATTAAATTTTACAAAATTTCCAAGCAACATTGCTACCCCATTTTGCTTGAAAAATTCAAAAGGGACGTTGGTTTTTATTTTTCATAAAATAAAATTGTTTTTAACGTTTTGTTAAAACTACATTTCGGGCAAATCAAAACATAACTCCACCAACCAATCACACCACACAGTAATGTTTGATGAGTACAAGTCATCCATCCAAAAATGAACTTCGTCGTTGAGGTTAATTTTTTTAACACATTACCGACCGATAGCCTATTAATTGACTGTTTTACCGACCAACGCTTACACGGCTGAGAGCCTATCAATCAACTGTTTTACCGGCCAACGCTTACCGACCGATAGCCGATTTATCAACCGTTACCGGTCGGTAAAGTGTTAACATGATTACGTCTAAAAGTTTGAATGAATTCAATGAAACTTTACATTTTAGTTTTACGTTCTCATTTCACGATCTGATTAAACTTTGAGCATAATCAGCCCACGTATAATGATGATTGTACTTCTTGTAGTTTTTTAATTATCACGATACATATACATTATTTGTAAAAAATTTGTCTTATGGCGTCAAATTGCAAGATATTGGCAAACACTTGACAGCTACATTCCCCGAAATAATCTTTTCATTGAATTTTAACACTTTACCGACCGGTAGCGGTTGATTAATCGGCTATCGGTCGGTAAGCGTTGGTCGGTAAAGAAGTTGATTAATACGCTATCGGTCGGTAAGTGTTGGCCGGTAAAAAAGTCGATTAATGGGCTATCGGTCGGTAATGTGTTAATCTGAATGAAGCAATAGTTTCAGCAGAAGTGTAGCATGTTTCCAGCAACAAAAAATTCACAAAATACATTCTGTTGCTTGTTCAAAAATTAGATTTTACTAAATTACCAGCAACTAAAAATTTACAAAACACATTCTATCGATTGTCCTATAATTAGATTTCATTAATTTTCCAGCAACAAAAAATTCAAGAAACACATTCCGTGATTGTCCAAAAATTAGATTTGACTAATTTCCAGCAACAATAAATTCGCAAAGCATATCCTTTTGCATGTCCAAAAAAGATATTTCACTAAATTTCCAGCAACAAAAAATTCACAAACCCTTTTCTTTCGTCCTTGCAAAAATTAGATTTGACTACATTTCCAGCAACAATAAATTCGCAAAACATATCCTTTTGCTTATTCAAAAAATAGATTTCATTAAATTTCCAGCAACAAAAAATTCACAAGACACGTTCTTTTGTTTTTGCAAAAATTAAATTTGTCCAAATTTTCAGCAACAATAAATTCGCAAAACATAACCTTTTGCTTCTCCAAAAAATAGAATTTCACTAAATTTCCAGCAACAAAAAGTTCTTTTACTTGTTCAAAAATTAAATTTCATTGAATTTCCAACAAAAAAAAAAATTCACGAATTTTCTGTTGATTGACCAAAAATTAGATTTGATCAATTTCCAGCAACAAAAAATATCCTTTTGCTGGTGCAAAAATTAAGTTTTACAAAATTTCCAAGCAACATTGCTGCCCCATTTTGCTTGAAAAATTCAAAAGGGACGTTGGTTTTTATTTTTCATAAAATAAAATTGTTTTTAACGTTTTGTTAAAACTACATTTCGGGCAAATCAAAACATAACTCCACCAACCAATCACACCACACAGTAATGTTTGATGAGTACAAGTCATCCATCCAAAAATGAACTTCGTCGTTGAGGTTAATTTTTTTAACACATTACCGACCGATAGCCTATTAATTGACTGTTTTACCGACCAACGCTTACACGGCTGAGAGCCTATCAATCAACTGTTTTACCGGCCAACGCTTACCGACCGATAGCCGATTTATCAACCGTTACCGGTCGGTACAGTGTTAACATGATTACGTCTAAAAGTTTGAATGAATTCAATGAAACTTTACATTTTAGTTTTACGTTCTCATTTCACGATCTGATTAAACTTTAAGCATAATCAGCCCACGTATAATGATGATTGTACTTCTTGTAGTTTTTTAATTATCACGATACATATACATTATTTGTAAAAAATTTGTCTTATGGCGTCAAATTGCAAGATATTGGCAAACAGTTGACAGCTACATTCCTCGAAATAATCTTTTCATTGAATTTTTACACTTTACCGACCGGTAGCGGTTGATTAATCGGCTATCGGTCGGTAAGCGTTGGTCGGTAAAGAAGTTGATTAATACGCTATCGGTCGGTAAGTGTTGGCCGGTAAAAAAGTCGATTAATGGGCTATCGGTCGGTAATGTGTTAATCTGAATGAAGCAATAGTTTCAGCAGAAGTGTAGCATGTTTCCAGCAACAAAAAATTCACAAAATACATTCTGTTGCTTGTTCAAAAATTAGATTTTACTAAATTACCAGCAACTAAAAATTTACAAAACACATTCTATCGATTGTCCTATAATTAGATTTCATTAATTTTCCAGCAACAAAAAATTCAAGAAACACATTCCGTGATTGTCCAAAAATTAGATTTGACTAATTTCCAGCAACAATAAATTCGCAAAGCATATCCTTTTGCATGTCCAAAAAAGATATTTCACTAAATTTCCAGCAACAAAAAATTCACAAACCCTTTTCTTTCGTCCTTGCAAAAATTAGATTTGACTACATTTCCAGCAACAATAAATTCGCAAAACATATCCTTTTGCTTATTCAAAAAATAGATTTCATTAAATTTCCAGCAACAAAAAATTCACAAGACACGTTCTTTTGTTTTTGCAAAAATTAAATTTGTCCAAATTTCCAGCAACAATAAATTCGCAAAACATAACCTTTTGCTTCTCCAAAAAATAGAATTTCACTAAATTTCCAGCAACAAAAAGTTCTTTTACTTGTTCAAAAATTAAATTTCATTAAATTTCCAACAAAAAAAAAATTCACGAATTTTCTGTTGATTGACCAAAAATTAGATTTGATCAATTTCCAGCAACAAAAAATATCCTTTTGCTGGTCCAGAAATTAAATTTTACAAAATTTCCAAGCAACATTGCTACCCCATTTTGCTTGAAAAATTCAAAAGGGACGTTGGTTTTTATTTTTCATAAAATAAAATTGTTTTTAACGTTTTGTTAAAACTACATTTCGGGCAAATCAAAACATAACTCCACCAACCAATCACACCACACAGTAATGTTTGATGAGTACAAGTCATCCATCCAAAAATGAACTTCGTCGTTGAGGTTAATTTTTTTAACACATTACCGACCGATAGCCTATTAATTGACTGTTTTACCGACCAACGCTTACCGGCTGAGAGCCTATCAATCAACTGTTTTACCGACCAACGCTTACCGACCGATAGCCGATTAATCAACCGCTACCGGTCGGTAAAGTGTTAATAAAATCAGAATTTACGCAGAAGTCTGCGAAATGTCAAATGTTTGAGAATGTTGTAAAATCGATAAATTGGGATTCTTATCAATAGCTTCGAAGCTTTTCACTAAACAGTAAATTGCAAATTCTGTTGGTCGAAACATTGTTCGAGTTGAACATTTTAATAATATCAACGAGCATTGAGCAACTGTGTATCTCTCCAATGGTGATTTGCAATGCATTACTCAATACAAATGTTACGTAATTCGAATAAGTGAATACGAAGTATGTTGATTATGACATCTGAAAGTTGTCGTTCGATGAATCTTTTTGAACTGTAAAATGTTCTTCTCGTAGATGTTCCCTGAAACTGGAATAAATGTGGTTTCCGTGGCGTTGCACTCCCATCTGGCTGGTCGTCGTTTGAGCCTGAAGCACATACGTCAGGGCCAGGAATTGCCCCGAATTGTCCAGGACAATCACTTCGACTTCGAGTACCAACAGGCTCACACACTCGAGAAGGAAGTGAAGATCCTTCCGGGCGATGAGTTAGTTGCAGAGTGCGTCTACGGTACCTTGGACAGGACGAAACCAACTTTAGGAGGATACGCTGCGTCGCAAGAGATGTGCCTAGCTTTCGTTGTGCATTATCCAAGAACGCCTCTGGCAACCTGCTACAGCATGACACCTGTAAAGGATCTATTCAAAACTCTCGGTGTATATAGCTTCAAGGGCGTCACCATGGATCACTTGGAGAAATTGTTCCTAACTACCAGGTGAGGGATTCGTACATTTACAATACAAGACATCCCGTAGCATCTGAGAACAACTTCAGCGATAATATCAAACATATATTGAATTTTCTTTGCGAATTATAACGAGTTCTCTTTTTTAATCAAAGTAACGGGCAAGTAATGCACAATTGCAAATCTGATAGAAGTAATATAAACAGTATACGAAATAAGCAAATATAAACCTTCCATTAACAGTCACAAAACAAATCTAATAGAATATTTACAGGTTTCCGTAGAGCCAGTGAAAAACTAAATTTTATTTGTGAGGTTATTCGCATAAAAATCCTTGCGAGAGTAAGCGTTTACAGAATTAGAATATAAAATTCACCGTCTGATATCGTGTTCTGTTTTTAAAAAGTTAGATGTGATAACTCGACTATTTTCATCTAACGAAAGAATTATTCCAACATAAAACACATTGCGATTCGAAGACAGGGTCAAAACAGAAGATATGTTTGCATGCGTATTTTTTATTGTTACTTTTCATGCGAAATCAATTATTGAAATTACTGAAGCGATTCCTACATGCTACGGAACACTCTGTATTTTAGGAAAAAGGTGACACTATAGTACGTTGATCAATACAATCGTATCAAATGATTAATACAATTAATGAACTGATATATGTGGCTGTTTCAGAACGGATGCTCCAACGATAGCATCGACTGGCCAGCAACAATTGCCAATTTACTCTGCGACAAGGCCTAGCGAAGAAGTTGACGAGGATCTTCTCAAAGAAGCAAAGTCAGCATTGAGAGCGATGAGGGACTACACGGTGGAACACGAAAATGATAATGTTTTCACTCGACTCGTCATCGAAGAACCTGAAGAGTTCAGAGGCAAGTAACGAAGACTTTCTTTATCCTTTCGAATTCACATTTATCTTAATCGTCAATTTTAAGAATTTAGTTTTGTATCCGGTTGAATAAATACAAACACGTAGTCGATTGAAATTATTATCAAGTTATGATCGTTCGAACAGGTCGAACCCTGGCGGAACATATATTGGCATTACCTTGGACCGAAGAACTTCTTTCGTAACAAAGACTTTCTTCGTCCTCTCAAATTCACATTTATCTTAATCGTCAATTTTAAGAATTTAGTTTTGTATCCGGTTGAATAAATACAAACACGTAGTCGATTGAAATTATTATCAAGTTATGATCGTTCGAACAGGTCGAACCCTGGCGGAACATATATTGGCATTACCTTGGACCGAAGAACTTCTTTCGTAACAAAGACTTTCTTCGTCCTCTCAAATTCACATTTATCTTAATCATCAATTTTAAGAATTTAGTTTTGTATCCGGTTGAATAAATACAAACACGTAGTCGATTGAAATTATTATCAAGTTATGATCGTTCGAACAGGTCGAACCCTGGCGGAACATATATTGGCGTTACCTTGGACCGAAGAGCTTCTTTCGAGGTCCATTGAGTGGAGCCTTTATCACGGAAGGCATATGACCTTCTGCAGGAAAAGGGACGACAAATTAGCCCTGGTAAATTGAACTTTGAACGATTCTATGCAATCGCTGTGTCTGATCTAACCTGATTGGTATTTTTATTCGCAGCCAGCGGATATTCAGACGTTCCCGAATTACACGGCTCTGCCGGAAGTGAACGAGACGACGTGCAAGGAGATCGGAATTCCATCCGGTTCGACGAGAATCTCGTTCGCGGATCTCACGGCATTCTTGACGATCGCGATCGCGATTATCTTCGTTACGTAAAAGTCACGATGACTTACGAAATAAACACTGTACAGTAATTATTTAACATACTTGTCTTGAGAATTATGCGGCTGTTTGAAACAGACTGAGAAGATGAATTCACAATGAACGGACTACTTTACCCCACAAGCAGGAGGCGGCAAGATTTTCGAAAAATTTTGACGGCCCAAAAACACGATTTATATATATAAATATACATATAATATAATATAATATAATATAATATAATGCAATGTAAATAATAACGTATTTATAAGGTGCACGTGCTACGGAGCCCCAAACCTCGTATTTTATATGGATTTTGTATAAAAAATAAACCAGTCTGTAAAAACTGTACTCGATGCAAGTGATTGTTGATCGATGATCATTTTATTGAGTAATCTATGACAGCGTTTCTCATCCCACAGACTGCGTTCAATTTGTAATGGGCAGCGAAATAGTAATTACTAAACGAATCGTTCAGAAGTCATCGCTGTATGAACTGTCACCAAAAGTTCAAACGGCAGTAATTTTGAAAAATTGTTAAGAGTTTGCGAAGACCACTGTTCGAGCTGCTTGGACTACCTCAAACCATTTGAAACAATCGAAACACTTTCAATCCGTCCAAGTTTCTAACCTCATCCTGACTCTGATGTAGTTACGAGGCATGTTCGATAAGTCAATAATGTAAAATTTATATTGATCTTGTTCTATAACAAATGCAAATATGACATCATTTATACTACTTGCTATGTCGTTTACTTAATAATTGCAAGTTTCTCTCTGCTTTGGCCTTATTTTTCCAAACACCAATACAAGTACTGTAACATAATTAACACTTTGACTGCCACGGTTAGGTCTGGAATAAGTCTGGGTTAGGTCTGGGTTAGGTCTGAATTAAGTCTGGGTTAGGTCTGGGTTAGGTCTGGAATAAGTCTGGGTTAGGTCTGGGTAAGGTTTGAATTGAGTCTGGGTTAGGTCTGGGTTAGGTTAGGAATAAGTCTGAACTAAGTCTGGGTTAGGTCTGGAATAAGTCTGAATTAAGTCTGGGTTAGGTCTGGATTAGGTCTGAATTAAGTCTGGGTTAGGTCTGGAATAAGTCTGAATTAAGTCTGGGTTAGGTCTGGGTTAGGTCTGAATTAAGTCGGGGTTAGGTCTGGGTTAGGTCTGAATTAAATCTGGGTTAGGTCTGGGTTAGGTCTGAATTAGGTCTGGGTTAGGTCTGGGTTAGGTCTGCAAGAAAAATTAGATTTTCTAATTAGCAAACTCGTCTTTTTAAGAGTAAATTAAGACCTAACCCAGACCTAACCCAGACATAATTCAGACTTATTCCAGACCTAACCCAGACCTAACCCAGACCTAACCCAGACTTATTCCAGACCTAACCCAGACCTAACCCAGACTTATTCCAGACCTAACCCAGACCTAACCCAGACTTATTCCAGACCTAACCCAGACCTAACCCAGACTTATTCCAGACCTAACCCAGACCTAACCCAGACTTATTCCAGACCTAACCCAGACCTAACCCAGACTTATTCCAGACCTAACCCAGACCTAACCCAGACTTAACCCAGACCTAACCCAGACCTAACCCAAACCTAACCCAGACCTAACCCCCGTTATCAGCGATGAATTGGTCTGGGTTAGGTCTGGAATAAGTCTGAATTAAGTCTGGGTTAGGTCTGGATTAGGTCTGAATTAAGTCTGGGTTAGGTCTGGAATAAGTCTGAATTAAGTCTGGGTTAGGTCTGGGTTAGGTCTGGGTTAGGTCTGAATTAAGTCTGGGTTAGGTCTGGGTTAGGTCTGAATTAAATCTGGGTTAGGTCTGGGTTAGGTCTGAATTAGGTCTCGGTGGCGCTTCGTCGAGCATTTCGACCGCTTGGCCCCCCGGGTGGAGAGGGCAGCTGCCGCTCTAGGCCGCCTTCTCCCGAATATCGGGGGGCCCGATGTTGGAGTCCGCCGCCTCTACGTGGAGGTGGTGCGGTCAATTGCCCTCTACGGGGCCCCAGTATGGGCCCCAGACCTGGATGCCAGCCGGCGCAGTACGGAGATGCTGCGCCGCGTCAACCGTCGGCTGGCCATCCGGGTGATTAGAGGGTATCGCACCATCTCCCACGAGGCGGCGACTACCCTGGCGTGTCTTCCGCCCCTGGAGCTCCTCGCTTGGAGAAACCGGCAAGTGTACCGTCACTCCAGGGAGCTCCAGGAGGCTGGGAGACCGCCAGAGGAAAGGAGGCAAGCGGTCGAGGAGACGAGGCGCCATGCCCAACGGACCGTTGTATTTATGTGGTTCCAGCAAATGATTCCGGCTGGAGCCACGCAACGGTCCGTTGGTGCAGTCCTGCCACATTGGCAAGAGTGGCAGGACAAACCGGGTAGGCTGTCCTACAGGATGACACAGGTACTCACCGGGCATGGTTGCTTTGGTGAGTACCTGTGTCGAATCGGGAAGGAGGCGACGGCGGTGTGCCACCATTGTGGAGGACCCCAGGACACGGCGCAGCACACGCTGGAAGTCTGCCCAGCGTGGGTAGATGAGCGCCGTGTTCTGGAGCAGGAAGTGGGAAGAAATCTCTCGCTGGCTACCATAGTGGGAAAGATGGTGGCCAGCGAGAAAACCTGGCAAGTGGTGGCCTCCTTCTGTGAAGTTGTTATGTCACAGAAGGAGGCCGCCGAGCGGGAGCGCGAGCGGACCGCGCATCCCGCTCGGAGAGGGAGGGCTCGGAGAGGGGCCAGAGCGAGGCATCCTTCGCCTCCTGGCCCCCTCCGACGCCCTTGAGGTCTAGTGGGACCTCCAGAAGTGGGGCGGCCCGCCAGCACTCTCCTCCGACCACCACGTCGGTGGTCAGGAGATTGGCAGGCCGCCCCTGGGGGTTGCAGGTGCTCGGTGCAAGGGGCCCGAGCACCGAAGGCAGCCCCGGGGCTGCGGGCGTCGGGTGACCTGGCGTCCGTGGCGGAGAAATCAGGGGGGGAAGGACATGTCGTCCTTCCCCCCGGGATGAGCCTCGACAGGCAAGGCGCGGCGGGGGACTCTGTGATGTCTCACTAGAGTTCCCGGTCCCTCGCCGCAGCGCCGGAGGACGGTCACCGTGGGGTTTTAGCCGGTAAGAGTCCGGCACTACCCCGAGGCCCCCCCTACTTAGGGCCTCGGGGTGTCCATGAGGATTTCCCCACGTACAAAAAAAAAAAAGGTCTGGGTTATGTGTTCGGAGAGGTTACCAACGGTGGAGGAGATATCTCCAGTCGATTGATTGCTGGAGGGCAGCACCGGGGATCTACTACTAACCTCGGCTAGATGGCGGTAAGTGGACCTTCTCCGTCGATCGGTATGTTACCGTTGTCGGTAGACAACGAGTGGTCGATCAGTTATCTTCGGCCTAATTTCTGTGGCGCCGTATGGTAATTGACAAGGGGAAATCTTACCCGGTGGAAATCTTTTAGCTCAGATTTTCACCTTTTATGATATTTTAGTCTCTTTTATTACATTTTACATTACATTTTATTACTTTTGTACATTTCTAGCTATGTTTTGGGATACCTCTTAGCTTTTTACTTAGCCTGCATTATTTTATATATGCAGGGCCCGGGAACATGTATAGTTGTTTCGTTTTATATTAGTACTGTTACTTATTTATTTATTTATTTATTTATTTATTTATTACTATTTTCTACGGTTATATATACCTTTTATGTGGGTAGGCCTAACTCCATTCTTGATAAGAAAACGCATAATATTCACTTAATAATTGCCACTATTTTAATAGGAACTATAAACTTAACATCCTTAGATACACTTAAGCAGTGTGACTCATTAGTATCCTATACGTATATTTTTAAATTCATTGAAACACAAACCCTTAAATATCTCGATTTGAAGATAAGTGGACTTAGGCCACTTTCAAAATGAACGGCATTTCTTGAGCGTTTTATAAACGAATAAAAATATTAGCATATTATACAAAATTTAGCAAAATTTACAGTTGCATCTGACTGAAAAACGACCTTTTTACTCACACACCTATTCTTCTCCCTTATTTACAGATGGCGCATAGATCGAGACTATCGCATTTGCATACATTCCAACAATTATTTAACAGAAGCAATAACATAAATAAAGTAACGCATGAAATGGTAATAAAAATGCATTTCTTGAGCGTTTTATGAACGAATAGAAATATTAGCATATTATACAAAATTTAGCAAAATTTACAGTTGCATCTGTCCGATTGTCCGGTAGTATAGGTGGGGGATTCCCCAATAGTAATTTTTTCTAACAATCATCTCAAACTGCAATCGATTAATAACAGAAAAAGCACGAATAATAATATCGAGAAAAGGGAGAGAAAGTGAAGAGAGAAAAATAATATTCAATTTGCTCAAAATGCAGTAATACAATAAAATAGCAAAAATTTTTAATAGAAGTCGATTTATTAATAGAAATGTCGTAAAGCGATTTGAGAATCAGATTTCAGGAGAGAAAAACGGAAAATTGTGAAGGAAGTACAAAATAAATTACAAATAGTCCGTACTAATTTTTTATATTTGTAATAATTTTCGTATCAGGAAACTGTAAACAGGCTTCCTTCGCCTTGTGATTTGCAAAATTTTTAGAATTTAGGCAAGTTCTAAGTATTAATAAATACAGTTAGCCCTCCTACAACACGGTATCCTATAGCACTGTATTTCTACAGCACTGGATAGCATGATTTTTGCTCAACACTTTACCGACCGATAGCCTATTAATCGACTGTTTTACCGGCCAACGCTTACCGACCGATAGCCTATTAATCGACTGTTTTACCGGCAAACGCTTACCGACCGATAGCCTATTAATCAACCGCTACCGGTCGGTAAAGTGTTAAAAAACTAAATTACCTGAAAATGATGACGCGAAGGAATAATGAACTATAGTGACTTTACATGAAAATATACAGGGTGTTTAAAATAAAACGAAAATGAAGAATATTAATTTTTTGACTGAGGCTTCGTTAAGAAGTTATTAAAAAATTAAATTAAAAAATTTCAAATCATTCTGAAAAAATTATACTTAGTTACAGAGGTCAATTACAAGCATTTTTGGTGAATAGACATACCCCGAAATTCAATGCACTTTTGAAAAAAAAAATTCTTTACC